TCTCTCTCTCTCTCTCTCTCTCTCTGCGTGGCAAGAGGGGTTGGGTGACGACGACTTACCAACGCTGACGATGGGATGGCGGTAGGGCATCAAGCCGATGCTGTAGTTGAACAGGCCTCTGCCGTGGAAGAAGGGGAGGGTGAAGCCGAACAACGACTGGAAGCGCTTCTGGAGAGCATAGATCTTGGTGCCCTCCTGGTTGGAGAGCTGCTCGTACACGTCGTTCTCGCCAAACGAAAACACGGGCACGAGGTCGGCGCCGTTGCGGATGGCGATCTTGATGAATCCGAGGCGCCTGCGGAGCGTGAGATCGGCGGTGCCCGGATGGGCGGCCAACGACTCGCTGGCGCCGCCGACGACGATGGCGATGGCGCTGCCCTTGCCCTTGCGCAAGATGGCCTCGCAGCTGCGCTTGGACACGCTGCATAGACCCATGGCCATGATGCAGTCGCGAAAGAGCGGGATGGTAAAGTTGGTCGCGAGCGTGAGCAGGTGCGGCGTGATGCCGGGGAAGCTCTCGGGGAACTCGGTGGCGTCCGTGCCGAGATTGGCGACCGCAGCCACGCCGAGGATGCCGTGCGGATGGTAGCCAAAGATGTACGGCCGGTCCGCGGGCAGGTTGGTCGTCTTGATCATCGAGATGGGAAAGTACTCGGCAAAGTAGCGGAAGACGGGCAGCTTGCGCACCCATGAGAAGCGACGCCCGCCGTTCTCGGGCGCATCGTCGATAAAGTTGATCCAGATTAGGTAGGGTATCAAGATCGGCCACGCGTAGGGTATCGACAGCAGCAGAAAGAAGATGCTCAAGCAGATGGGCAGCAGCAGCGCCCAGAACAGCACACCCGCCGTCTGCAGCCGCCGGCTGCGCGGAATCGAGAGCGGCGCGAATCTGCACGCCATAACCCCCAAACGAGAATCAGTCCGTGCTCCTCTTTTGTGAAGAAGTACGGTGGTTCAACTTACCGAATGACGTCCTGCTTGTTGATCGCATCGCTGCTGCGCTTCTTGTCGGTAGCAGTAGCGTCTGCGGGTGTCTTTTCGTCGGCGTTGAGCGGACGGTCGTCGACGTCGTGAGCCTGGGCACGCTGGCCGGCGGTTTCAGAGGCAGGATGGCGCGGCCACATTTCGGACGGCAGCCGATGAAGCCAGAGTGATCGCAGTGAGATGGCGGTAGGGCTCAGCGTCGACGAAGCGTGAGGGAAAGCCACTGAAAGCCACCTCCCAAAGGCTGCTTTGCTTGCTGTCGGAGCCCAACCGAAACCGGGTGCAGGGCAGGGCGTTACGCGCAGCAGCCGTGCATGCAGCCAAGCGCTCTCAACTCAAGCGCCACCCTCCCACTTCCACCCGCCCTGACTTGGCTCGTGCCCTTTCACACCCACGCCGCAATGGTTCTAGGCAGGATCTCGTCTTTTGCAAATCGGCGGGGTTGGCATCCCCGATCTTCAGGTAGGCCGACTTCCGAGACGCGGCGGTGGATTTTCGAGGCTGGCCAGCTTCAGGGTTCGCACCGGCTGCTGCTGCGCCAAGTTGCATTCCTCTGCCACCACCACCACCACCACCACCAC